TTTTTACTGTATTTTTGATCAAATAAAAGCATCCATTTCAAAAAATATTTTAAAAAATCTTATAAACTCCAAACTTTTGTCCGTCTGCAAGGTTGTTTCATTTTGACTCGTTTTATCTCAGTAACTACTGAAGTCATTAGCATATGAGATTATTAATCTCTTTTCATTGGCTTTTAGGAGCCGATGAGGCCACCAGCATTGAAGTCTACTGGCCGGATGGTCGCTCCATCGCTCGAGTCCCCTGATATGAGCACAGTGTTTCTGGAGGTCTGTCTCCGTGTCTCTGGAGGTGTTCTGCTCTGGATCTGTTGGATTCTCACTCAGTCTGTCAGCATGATGAAGACACACGGCAGAGGACTGATGAAGACCAGAATCACAGCAGTGTCTTCAAGTGCTGCGTTTGTCTCCAAAAAGAGAAGGTGGTCAGAGACATAAGTTACAAGTGTTGAACTGGACGAGCTCCTGATAATGTCACGCAAACAGTATAAATATAAACATGATCATTCCTCATTTTTAGTCTTCTTCTTTTATGAAACTAAACATTTGAGCTGAAATGTATAGCTTTATTGCAATGAAAGTCTTAATAAAATCTTAATTCAATTACTCCTGTGTATAATTGATATTCAATTTACTGTAAACAATATTATTAAAAATGTTAAATATTACATTAATATCTCGCATAACAATATTCTTAACAATAAAAATAAAAAATAAAATTTTTTTTTAATTGCCTTAATGACGAAAAGCAATATTAAGCTTATTTGACATTCAACATAATCTGTTGAATTAATATTCAATTTATTGTAATCAATATTACAAAATAAATGTTAAATATTTCATTAACATTTTGAATTATAATATTTAGCTTATGACATTCAAAATAATTGCTTCAATGAATTGATCAAGTTATTATTAAAAAATATTTTATTCTAAAAAAATATATATATATTGATATCTAAATAACTTAATGCCAAAAAACAATATTCTGTTTTACCTAAAAGCATATATTTTAAGTCAAGTGGAAAATGCCTAAATAAAACCCTGTGCAAAAATACATTTAAATAAAATGTGGATTAAATAAAGAAAGGCAGAACTCGTTTGTTTGGCCATCATTGTTCATTTATTTTGCTACACAACAGAAAAAGCACTCTCAGCTTCATCTTTGCATACAGAAGCCAAAGGTTCTCAGTAAGAAATGGAAGCTCGTGATGAAGGACCATGTGAGGAAGCTCTGGCTCTTGAGTCACGTCATCAGGACTCGTTTCTGCTCTGACAGTGCGGTATGAGTACAAAGCATGAACGATTAGCACACTATGAAATAAAGCAACACAATAAAGTCATAAATAGTACCCGTGGAATAAGATGGCAGTGTCTGGGGCCTGTATAAAATGTCTGGGGTCAGATTTCAGTCCTTGACATCTACCTAGTCTAAAATCTGACTTCTGTTTAATAGTTAGAGTAAAAGTGCTCATACTCAAAACAAAAGGGTGAAAAATCATGAAGATGGAAGACTGTCGTGTGCCGTTCGGCAGCTACTTCACAGGCGTTTGTGAGTGAGATTGCATATTACAGTGACAGAAGCTCATGTGCGCTTTACCCAGGATGCTACAGCGAGTGACTGGAGGATGTGCAACGGCTGCAGGAGGGTGGAGGTAATGACTGAGGTAATGACGCGCTGCTGATCCAGCAGCTGATGTGTCTCGTGGAGGCAGTGCATGTCAGGTGTGTTTGTGTTTGGCGATGCTGAGCGGTCGCTGTCGTGTCGAGTCTGTTCAGCGGCCGTCAGTATGAAGGCGTCACACGTGTGTGTGTGTGTGTGTGTGTGTGTGTGAGAATCAGCGTCCGCTGCTGCTGGTTGTGCTGCTTCCTGAGCTTGAACCGCTGGAGCCACGATCCTCGTACACACTGATCTCAATCTAACACACGCGGGTTAAGGGAGCAACATCACAGCATTACACAGCCTTACATGCACAAACTTTACACATTAGAAGTCTTGGCCCTCTTGACTTTTTAAACAATTAAAATCATAAAACAACATAATTTGACATTCAACAATCTTTTGAATTGCTATTCTATGTATTACAAAAAAGTAATTATAAAAAATATTAAATATTACATTAATATCTTAATTTATTGATGAAAACTATATTTAGGTTATTTGACATTCATCATAATCTGTTGAATCTATATTCAATTGTGGGAAAAAACAATTTTATTATAAAAAGAATAATACAATATAATACAATTATTAATTTATAAATATATAGTGTTATCAAGAAATTAATTTAATTGCAAAAACAATATTTAGCTTATTTGAGATGTTACATAATCTGTTGAATTTACATTTAATGCATTGTAATATATATATATATATATATGTGTATGTGTGTGTGTGTGTGTTTAAAAAATACATCTTAAATATATTTATCTTTAATTACGAAGTATAATAATATAACAAAACTATATTGAGCTTATTTGTCATTCAACATAATCTGTTAAAGTAAAAAAACTTAATTAATATATACGTCAAAAACAATATTTGGCTACATCCCACATTTTGATCACAATCTTGTCTTTAGGGTTCCAATAACTGCAAAACTCAAAATGCAAACTGAAGACATAATAAAAGAGTTCATGCAACATCCTAAGATGGACTAACAACTGCTTCTGAAGAACAAGCAGCTTCCACTGACCACATACACTCACATACACACACAGACTCTGTAAGGATACGACTCTCATGCCTCTCTCTATGGGGTCTGTGATGAGGAGACCTCGAGGAGCGTAGACCTTCTCATTCTGCTCCTGAATGTACCGCGAGATCTTCTTCAGCACCTGCACACACACACACACATGCATACTTTTGACCAGCAGCATCATTTTTATTCGCCATAGTTTGCAGAACCAACACATAAAGCGACCCATGATAGTACGTTTTATTTTTACCTGCCATTTTCAGGGTGGGTTTATCTGAATCTGATAACATACCTTCTCATAGCGTGTCTCGATGCACAGGAATATGAGGTAAATTGTGAGGCAGGCCAGACATCCCTCGAGGTAGGACTGGCCTCCGATCTTCTCCGCCTCTGCATAGTAATTATTCAGCGTCTTCACCGTGTCCTCAAACAGTGTCCTCTCAATCTGACCAATCAGGTGCAAGGACAAGATGAGTCAGCCAATCAGAGAGCACCAGCGAGTTCACACAAGGACATTATATGGCAGAAACTACTGGGTTTGAACATTGTAAAGACATCAGTCTCAGGCCGGACATCACATGATAAAACTTGATTGCATCAAAATAAATAAACAGATTGTGAGAATGACACTGAAATCTCCACATGCTGAACTCCCTTTGCCTTTACTGGCTGTCTGTAACATGATCTTACACCTTTAAACAGCTCTATTAGCAGCTCATTATGTGTGTGTTGTGTGGAGTTGCGCACTCAGCAGTGCTTTTGCTGAAGTTTCTCTGAGTGAAGAGCCTTTTTCTCTTTCCTCTCCTTTTTACTTGCATTGTGTCTCTTTTGTTCTGCCACACACACACACACACACACTTACCCTGCTTTCTAGCTCAGAGGGGAACTTGGTCTGGAACTTGCAGACAGTGCCATCCGTGTAGTCTCTCTGAATGAAGACTTTATTGGCCAGAGATGCACTGTGTCTCAACTCCTGAAGGTTATGGAACTACGGCAGAAGGAGAGAGGCGTTACAGCACGCTGCATTCTGATCTAATCATAAATTCAGTTTCCTTGGGCTGTTAGATGTTAAACAATGCATGAAAATGGCTCGACTGGTGAAACCAGAAGTTTGAGCAGAAAATTAGCCACTAGTATTCAGTTATATCACAGTTATGATCCTACTTGCTAGTCAGTGACAGGTGGTATTAGACATTTTTGCAGTGTAGTGCAGTGATGACACAGTTTGCTCATCACTGCATTACTTTGAGCTCAAAGAGTAAAGCAGTGATGCCATCATCATTAGCTCACAGAATTATGTAGTGATGTTTCTGACTTTATCTCAGAGTAATGCAGTGATGTTTTCATCATTAACTTATATAGTAATCCTGTGATGACCTTATGCACACTTTATTGCCCGTGTGTATGCACACACACACACACACACACACACACACACACACACACACACACACTCACACACA